ATCGTGGTTCGAGTAATTCGTTTTTGTGTTTCTCTGTCTTGAACGCCAGATCATAGCGAAAAAATGAGTTCGAGGGAGTAAACGATAAAGGTTGCTTAAGATAAGTTTTTGAGCGAAATGAGAATTATTGCAGGGCGTGGATCCTTGTTCCCGAAACCTAGTTATAAAAACTTATCATGTGTGGAGTCTGTCATGTGAGATAGTTCAGCAGTCAACGTGAGCACGTGGGAAATATTAGAGCAAGTGTTTTAATTAATTTCTAACACATATGAGTCCCACAAATTATTCCCATGGTACATATAAAGTACGTTACCACACTTTTATAAAAATAGATTTTTCAAAATAACTGATAAGCCTACATAAAAATGTCATCACAAGCTTTTACATATAAAAAAGCACAAAAACATAATATTCAACAACCATTACATATATCTCTCCCTGAAATCAGAGCCCACATTCGATTCTTGAATATAAATAAAATAACATCAAACCCTGCACACAAAATAAGTGAGACCTACAAACAGGCGATTGTGAAGCTTTTCTATCAAACATAACTCAAGTCAGACACCTTGATAGCTTAAGCATTTATAAATGAAGATTTCCTCCTTTTTGAAACCACACATGCCGAACTACCGACCCACCAAACTTCAAGATCCACTATAAATTACAGTCAAATCAAAATGGCCAATTGCCAGTAATTCCTTGTTGCCCTAACCAACCAACCCAAAAAAGTTAAATAATTCTCACTTTCTCCTTTTGCTGAAGATCCCCTACAACCCACTTCAAGGACCTTAGGGACCCCCAAACGCTACTTCTTGAAAAACCAACTGCTTTTAGAAAACTAGGGCTTTCCCCTGCAGCAATATGATTGGAGAGGTGCACATCTTTATACCTGTACCATCACTCTTTAAATTGATAAAACTAAGTGACATATTTTTTAAATGGATATTTTCATTTCATATTCAAAGAACAACTGATAAAACTAATAACAACACAAACCTAAACAGTGAACACAATAACTGCAGAAGTTTTGTATAAAATGAGTGATTTGGATGAATGGTAAATGGTGAAATGGACCCTTGTACTTGTAATAGCGCCTTTCTATCTTCTACCACTCAAAGCGCTTTTTACACACTACGTGCCAACATTCCACCTCAAGTGATGGCAAAGTTCCAATCGAACAGAAAACTAACTCATTCACACAATTTTTGGGGTTCCAGTATCTTGCTCAAGGATATCTTCACACGTGCAGGAGGACTGGGATCGAACACCAACAACCTTCTGATTGGGGACGAACCCCGCTCTGCCTTCTGAGCCACAGCCGCCCGTATGCTGAGCACACAGCATCAGAGGTGATAATTTTTTTAATGAACATTTTTATAACCAATTCCTGTACTGTATTATGGTGCTTTTAAATAAAATGTATTATATATACTTTTTCAATACAAAATGTGCATGCTAAACAGGCTTTCAGCAATTCACATATAAACTAAGCTATAAGACTGATGGTTGACAGTTGAACAAATTACATGAGCTAACAGGCTGCTGAAATCTGTGATTTTTTTGGCTAGTATGTTCTTTCAGAAAACAATCAATCAAACCACTTGTTGTTAAATTTGTAACTGTCAATATGTTACAAGTCTAATTATTATTTGAGTCCAATGCTGATGTTTTAGAAGGGATTAGTATAGTCCCTGCTGTCTGGAAGTACAAAAGGAGTGCAAAGGTTAATACTACTTTTTATCCTATTGCCATCATTAGGTTACGTAAACGATCAAGCATAACTGCTGAACAACATCAACCATAGAATGGCTTACCTGGCATCTACCAAAAGCAATCAGGAATATAATATTGTTCACTGCCAATATTCATGGGAGTCATGGATTTCCAGGGCACCAATTTTTCATAGTGATTGGCTTTACATCAAATTGGAGAACTCTCTCTGATACTGTATGTCTTGAGGGAGAAAATCCTGTTTTGAGCATGTGAGAAGGATCTCAAAAGAGTTTCTGTTTGTTGCATCACATCAGCTCATTGCTGTTTTCATCAGATGAGGTATTTGGGATTTTACTGTAGCTTTAGGCTTACTTTTAAATTGCCAAACAAAGCAGAAAACCAACAGTGTAAAGCACTTTCTGTATAACAACCTTATTTAAAAAAAGGCAGCGTCAACTTATGTTCCACCCCAAGCTTTCCCATGAAAACCAATAAAGTAAAGGGCTTGTTGAGTCCTTGAAATGTGAGACGATAGGATGGTGAGAAGGGCAAAGCATTTCATTTTTCTAAAATATACAGAAAATGCCAACTAGTCAGTAATATTGCTGTGGTAACTTGACCCACACACAGATGTTCTTCTCATCTATGATCTGTTGTGCAATTTGAAAAGACTAAAACTGTGCATAATAGTAGGTCTATTATGAGCCAAATAAAATTGATTGAACCTCTCAGGGAAATGTGTGTTTTGTTGCAAAACACATGCAACACTAAAACAAAGTTTCCACAACCCAAAAATATTTTTATCCTTTTTAGGTGTGTGCATATTGTAGTGTTGCCGGATGCCTTTGTGCCTTGTTGTAAACCTTCTACAGAAGACTTCTCAATAACTCTATTAATATTACTGTACTTTGAAGTAAACATTTGTAATTTGTATTCAATAAAATGTGCTTTGTGGGTTAATCTACATGGTTAAATTGTTAAAGGTGCAATTGTATAACTTGTATAACTTGTATAACTAACTGTATAAAGCATGACATGAATGTCTGCAGACAAACTGCTTACCCTGACCAATCCCACTTTTCGTACATATGAAGGCAAAGAATACTAACCAATCAGAAGCAGAGTAGGGCGGGTCATAAGGGATAAAACAACCGGCCTATAATGGGGGAGATCTATGAAGTAAGGCTGATTGACAGCTCACCAGGGCCAATCAAATGCACTTTCAACTGTAAACAGAGAGGGCTGTTACCATTGACAGTATATATAACCAATGAGGAGTCCGTGTCTGTGGCTGAGTGGATGTTATTGGTTAGATTAAACACGCGGAGCAGACATCCTCATTGCGCGGGTCTGTCAAAAAAATCTGCCACATAAATTTATCCAGGAAACGCTCCGGCTACTGCTTGTCATGGTTATATAGCTTTACATTAATGTCCGTATAAGATTTGTCAATGGGGAAAACCTTTACGTTGTATGCAGTATTCCTTGTGTTAGCGGAAACTAAAGAGTTAGGTTACGTGACAGTCCATAAATTGGATTAGCGCTAAGTAAAGCCATCGGTGAATGATAGTTTAGCACACTGGCTAGCTCGCTAACTTGACGGATGGTAATGTAGACAGTTTCGCGTGTGTTCGTCCTTCACCATTTGAGGGTGTGTGTGCTAACATTATATACATTACAAGGTTAACGTATTTAACCTAGTAGCTACCACCTCGCGTAGAAGTCACTAGGTTAACAACATGGATAGCTACAGTCAGCGGCTTGACTCTACAACCGGACGAGACAGCAAAAGAGAAAAGAAGAAGGGCTCTTCACACCACAGCACTTCATGCTACGATGAAGGAGAGCGCAAACCCAAGTTTGTAAGTATGGCAGACTGAATGGAGACACTTGTTTTGTTGTTGCAGCATGACAGATAAAATATTTGAATATACTGTACTACATGAGTATATCTGATACCCGGGAACCACACACACACACACACAGAGGAAAGTGCAACACCCAGAAGGAAAAAGTGGCTGCAAAAACTTTTTCATAAATAATATAATGTGTAGAGGCACGACTCTACCTTTTTAAAGGTGTGCTAAAGTGGCCTTGGGTGACTTGACTCTATTTACACA